TATGGCATGAGGGTGTACCAACATATGATGTCTCAAAAAAGCAAAACTTTGTTAAGAGAGCAGCACTGATATGGACTATTAATGATTTTCCTGCATTGGGCATGTTGTCAAGGTGGAGTATAGTTGGAAAATTAGCATGCCCAATCTACATGGAACAATCCAAAGCTTTCACATTGAAAAATGGGAAAGAAAATTCTTAGTTTGATTGTCATTGTCAATTCTTACCTAGTAATCATGTTTTTAGAAGAAATAAAGATGGGTTTTACGAAAATAGACAAGAAAAATCCAACCCTCCTCCTAGGTTAGCTAGTGACCAAGAATGGGAAGAGTTAGGGGTTTTCCTAAGATAACTGAAACAAGGATGTTGCATCGTTTCCAGGATATAGGGTATCTCATAATTGGATAAAAAAAAGTATATTTTGGGATTTGCCATATTGGAGAACCAATCTGATACGACATAATCTTGATGTCATGCACATTGAGAAAAATGTTTTTGACAATGTGTTTCATACTGTTATGGACAATAAGGAGAAAACTAAGGATAGAAAGGAAGCAAGGATGGACTTGGCAGAGTATTGTCAATGAAAGATTTGGAATTGCAAACTTTACTTAATGGAAAATGGAAAAAAACCCAAAGCTAAGTTCACTTTGACCATGGACCAAAAGATTGATGTGTGTAAATGGGTGGATGAGTTGAAGATGCCTAATGGCTACGCTTGTAACATAGGTAGATGCATTGATAAGAAGGAGGCAAAACTATTTGGAATGAAAAGTCATGATTACCATGTTTTTATGGAACGTCTTCTTCCAATTGTCTTTGCTACACTTCCATACCCAATATTGAAGGCTTTAATAGAACTTAGTTTTTTAGAGACTTATGCTCAACAGTGTTACAAGATGATCATTTATTAAAAATGGAACAAAACATTGCTATAGTCTTGTGCAAATTGGAGCAAATCTTTCCACCTGTCTTCTCTGTCTCAATGAAGCATCTACCAATTCATTTGCCATATGAAGCTAGGATAGGTGGCCGAATTCAATACCGATGGATGTATCCATTTGAAAGATAATAATCAAAGTTTTGTTCACGTCATATGCTTTATAATTGGCCTAAAGAGTGACAACTATTTAATTCCTTTAAATTTTGTGTAGATTCCTTAGCAAGATTAAAAAAATAGTGAAAAATAAAGTTCTTGTAGAAGGGTCTATATGTCAAGCATACTTGGCTAAAGAGACATCATACTTCTATTTCCATTATTTTGAGCTGCATGTTCAATGTAGAAGAACCATAGTTGGTAATAGTAATGAAAGGGTTGGAAACTACGAAATTCAACCAACTATATCAATCTTTAATCAACCTAGTCGCACTACTGGCAAGTGTAACGATCGATATCTAGATGAAAAGAAATGGAGGCTACCCAATTACATATTCTATTAAATTGTGTAGAAGTTGAACCATATCTTGAATAAGTATTAAAAAAACATATTTTGTCATATACATTATATACTCAATTACCTATCCATATAATAATTATATGTAGATTGACACTAATACACTCGTGCCTTGTGGTGCAGCCTATATGTGCAAAATTTGAAGTACTTGTATGGTGATCTTAGTGATGATAACATTGATTCACAAATCGAATCTGACTTTCGACGATGGTTTTTAGCATATGTAAGCATTAACATAACATATTTAATAATATTAATAGTAATTGTTTGGATAATACATCACACTTACAAATTTTCTTTCATTTTGAATAGGTCACCAATAATCAACACATGTTACAAAATCCCTATTTGTATTACTTGGCATCAAAACCATTAAGATTGGTAAAGTCATGGCCAATTTATTTTGTTAATGGATACACATTTCATATTAAGCAATGAGGTGAAGGTAAGATAACATACAATAGTGGAGTGTGTGTTAGTGGCATTGGACAAGATGAAAACTCAAACGACTATTATGGTGTTACAAATGAAATTCTTGAATTAAAGTGGCTAAGACAACCAATAAAGAAGTTAGATTTGTTTAATTGTGAATGGTTTGATACTTCCAAGCATAAAATAGAAAATATTCAAAATTTGATCTTTTTATATTTGCTCAAACAGCAACTCAAGTCTACTATGCACCTTATAATAGTACCCTCACAAACGTGTTTTGATGTGTTATATTGCTCACCGTATATATGTATGTATATGTATAGTTGTGAACTTAAGATGTGATACATGTACCAACATGTATAGTCTATATATTATCTGTACTCACTGAATTTCACGACTCACATTTTATCATCATTCTAAATTTGGGTTGTTGTCCTCGTCTTGAGTAGCATTCTAGAGTCGAAGTGACTGTTTGCAAATTTGATTGATGTACGAGCATCCCTTTTTATATATCTATTATTTTGTATTCTAGAGTAGTTCTTTGTACTCTTAGATAGGTCCTGATGATTACGTACTAGATATTGTGTGTTGGTTTACATTTATTTAATGAGATGAGCATTTTGGTATAGTTTGGTGTGGGAAGGCTTACTAGGGTCAATGAACCCTAGTGTCAGTCACAGGCCTAGGGTCAGGTCGTGACACACTTTTTCATTATAAATAAATAAAAAATTTCACTTAACAAATCTAAAAAATAATTTTAGAAAAAGATTAAATAAAAAAATTATATGTAGAAAAATTTGAATTAAGCATTGGATTTTTTTCCATCAAAAACCTTAGGTTAAAAAAAATTACCATTGCCAAATAAAAACAAATAATTGAGAATTAAATTTTAGTTTTTAAAATAGAAATTGTTGAATTTTATATTTTAACTATCAAAAAAAATTAAGTGTAAAATAATGAATACATATTAAAAGAAAAATAAAATTAAAGTTTAAACAATACCATACTAACATATTATGCATAATAATTTATTAAATTATTTATATTATATATAAAATTATTAAATTTCTAAATAATTGGATTATAAGTTATTAGTTAAAGTATTTATATTATATGTAAGTTAATTAAATCATCTAATAATGATAGGTTTTTAATTAAATTGATTAAAAGTTTCATATTAAATTAGGTTAAACAAAATTAACTTTTTCATTGTTTTCAAATGATTTTTAATTTGTTTCTAATATATTGTGAGATCAAGAATATAAAATTATAGATAATTATTAATTAAAGTTTTGAAATTAAATCCTTAAATATAAAAAATTTAACATTATATAATCTTAAAATAATTAATTTTTTCATATTAGTTATATACTAAAAATATCTCTTTTGTGTGATTTTATAAAATTTTTATTAATTTACTTAAATATTTTAATATAATAAAAAAAACCACAGAAACCATACCAAAACCAAATAAAACTGAAATAACGGTATCGGTATCAAAAATATGATTTTGATTTTAACGCTAAAAAAATCGAAATAATTAATACGATATAATTTTATAAAAAAAATTAAAAAAAACCGAACTATGAAACCTCTACTCTTCATTCACAAAAATAATTAGTTCATTCAAAGAAATAACTGATTAGCACTTATACATTCATTTGTCTTATCCAAAATTATCATCGCTTGCATTTTTCCTCCCTTTGATTTTCTGAGTGCCATAATTTTTCCCTCTTAGATTTTCTAGGTTTCATAATTTTCCCAGCGCGGACCAACACATTTAACCCCTTTTACATCTTATTCTTTCTACTTCTCCCTATTTCGTTTGATTATTTCATGACATTTTATAAAATAATCCTTTCCAACTTTTTTCCCCATACACAGTAATGTAAATACCTGCATCATAGTGGGAGTTGAACCCAGAAGCCACTATAATGGCCATGGATTGGCAAAAGATACTATTCCGAAACTAACACTTAATCATACTTTCTTAGGCACGAAAACTAAAAAGAAAATAAGGATGAAAAACCAATAAATACAACAGTCATACTTGCAGACTACAAGAGCCAATCTAGAATATCTTTTTATTTATTTTTCACTTAGTATACATGAAAGGAACTTTCCAAATCCGGGTTTAGAATTGAGAAGCAAACAGTGAGACTAAATTACTTTGACCTTTTTGACTTCCTTTTTTTTTTTTTTCCCCATAATGATAACAGAGCTTGAAGCTTCCAAATCTCTATTTCCAGTTGACAAGAACACGATTGTGCATTTTTTCTCTCCATGTTCAAAGCAGTTGATGCTTCCTACATCCTGCGCATCATTACATTGAAATATGTCGGCATCAATCTAGAAGTTCCAGCCACAAAGAAATTTTAGATGAAATCAAATTGGGTTTGCTAACCCCATATAGGGCATAAGATTCATATTTCTTTCTGAGTGTATAATATAAAACACACTATACTCCCCCAGCTTTTTTGGTTTCTTATTTTTACTTGGCACCACGAACTCTTTTATTGACCATTGCAGCTTGTGCTAACACTTTTCATCTTATCAATGAGCAATAGCAGAAATCATCACATTGAAAGCATACCAGTTTTGGTGTTCAACTTCTAAAAAGCTGTAGTTATTAGCAGTTTCTTTTCAGTAAAGGAATTCTTGCGTGCAAATGCAGAAAGGAATAGCCTGTTACTGTTGCTAATGAAATTTATTCATAGTGTTTAAGAAGGGCGGGCAGTGGAGTCTAGTTCAGGCTTTTGAAGTCAAATGGATCTGAGCAACCACCAAATGAAGAGGAATTTTCAGTGGATCATGAAGTCATTTTGAGGGTGTACTTGGGATTTGAGTCATGCTAAGAACTGAGCTTTTTTCTGTCATTATTATTGGCATGATTATAGTCTACAGTTTCATTGTAGAAGCATATTATCTTATCATATTGTCCTTCCCCATGTATGTAACAGTTAACCCTTGGGTACCAGGTCATTTTGCCCCCTACTTTCTTTCAACCAAATTTTTAATGCATGATGGTTTAAAAAATAAAAATATAAATAATTCTTTTCTTCTAGGCACCAAGCTCATCCCCCAGCACTTCTTTGCATCAAGTACTTCTATTTAATTTACCTTATTAAAGCCTTTTTCCCTATTATCTTCTCACAGCATAAATATAAAAAAATATATATATATCCAATTTATACATCCAAATTTCAAGTAATAAAGCAAAAGTTTAAGCAATAGTAGCTAAAAGAATTATCCAAACATAAGTGTAGAGAACTAAAATTTTTTCCATCAGCATACATATATCAAGCATCTCTGTGCTTCTAATTTCCTGTACGTTAACAGTTAAAAATAAAGAAAAACATTGTTTTAAACACGTAGCTTTGTGATAATAATAACGCCTTACCAGGGAAGCTTAAAGGTGTCTTTCCACCATCCATGCTTGGAGCAGTTTGCAACTATTTTGTTCAACTGTATGATGATATCATAAAAACTTGGTCTTGCAGCTGAATCTGGGTGCCAACATTTCTCAATTAACCTACACATATTAAAAAAATACAAAAAATAATGAGATGTACAAGTGTCAAAGTAACAGATTGTCACAAATTTCTTTATAAGCCATTCCAATTGACCAAATAATTACAGAAAGAGTGCTGCTAGAAAACTGACTTCTTCAGCCGATTAAACTAGGCAATTAGCATGTCTATTTCTAAGTCAACCATGTGGTAGAAATAAAAATATTTTATTTTCAGAATTAATCTTTTGTCCCTACTCCTTAATGTAATTTTTTTGAAACCCAAAGAACCTCTCTCCATCCATCATCACATCCACCCTGGTATATTCACATTTTAAAAAAACACCCCCTGCACACCCACTATACAGTCATGTGAACTTCACTGCCTATATCTCACTCTTCTTGAAATCACAAAACTTTCATTGATCTAAATGCCTGTTCAAGATATTGTTTAACCTCCACATGTATTGTTCTATTTGAAGTGGCTCCATCTTTTATGAACAAGGAGAATTCTGAAGATCTTGTCAGAGGAAGATAAAAGAAATAGAGGAGAGGAAGACAACAAACTTAAGAGTGAGATAGAAAAGACTATAAACCAGATTCTTTTCACCAATGTGGAATTGATATTGACATTAGAAAGACTTTTGGTGAATAGATTCAATTAGTGGTTTTTTAATGCACCTTGCCAATTCTTGGATCCGAGGCCAAGTCTCACTGCCTTATGGTCTTGGTCCTCTTTATAAGCAAGTATTTTTGTACCAAAAGTTGGTGTTGAGAGGAACTTTTAATTGTCAAGGCTAAATTGGTAAATTTGCATATTTCCATGTAAGTCGGTTTTTGTTTCAGTTAGTTGTTTCAGTCTACATAGCATTTTCCTTAATGAAGAAAAAACGAAAGAAATGAACAAAAAACTAAACAAGGAATTGGTGCAAAGCTCTTTTTCTAGCTTGGCAGGTATGGGGTTATCCAGTGATTAACATAAAAGCATGATTATTAAACAGATTTGATAAGAGGTAATGACTAAAGGTTGCATGCACCACCAAAGGTCTAAAGTTAGTAGCAGATATTATAAGTGACAAATATCATCACACAATGAAGTTTAGCAGACTTAATAACCTTAATTCCCATAAAGTCTTTGTCACTCCAGGTTTTCTAACATGGTGTTACTTGAAGTCAAACCAAACAGGTAAAAGCAGTAACTTATTAACTATTGTCATCTTATCTGCTAGGAGAAAATCAAACGTACAGCATGCAAAATTTCATTATGGATTATGCATTAGTCAACTTCTTCATAGAATGACATAAAAGACTTGTTATGTTTTGGACCTAGGCATTATAGCACCCAGTGATGAAAAGGCAACAGCATACAAGTGGCAAATATGGTAATTTCTCAAAGGAAATCAACTTACTCTTTCAGTTGTGTAGGATAATGTTTAGATTTTGTCTTGAGCAGTGGCCTCCTATCTGTCAAACACATCAATTTAGCGGCTTCTTCAGGGGACTTGTTGTGGAATGGCTGGACTCCCTCAACCATCTGAATGCAATCAAAAAACTAATGCAATGGAAGAAACAAATAGTTTTACACTTAATCCCCAATAGGATAAGTCAATTAATGATATGACAATGTACACAGCAGTTTGCCCCAGGGGGCAGTGTAATTGTCAAATACCACCCATATCATTCTACAGATACAGAGGTTCCACAAAACAAAGGAGAAGTCATTATTAAATTTGTTAACAAAGTTCATAGCTTCCCTCTAACTGAAAACATATTTTTGTACAACCTCAAATACAGATTGATTAGGGGTTTGTAAAGTAGATGAACTACTGCAAATGTTAGGATTTAAAAATTAGGCAAGTATGACAGATGGAAAGAAAATGAAAATGAAAAGGATGAAAAATACCTCATAAAGAATAAGACCAAAAGAGTACACATCCACACTTCTGTCAAATATTTCATCTTTATATATCTCAGGTGCCACATATAAACCTACAGAAACAAGGAATAATCAGTTATGAAACAAATTTGATAATGATTGGAAACCAGGCTTTGTTTTGCTGATATATAGTCAAAATTACCCTTTTTTCTTAATAAATCATACAAAATGCAAGTCTTGTATAGATCTAAATCCATGATACATAACCCTAGTTTGATGTGTTTTAGGAGAGCAATCATAGCGAACGCATATAACTTAGTGAAATGAAAGGAACATTCTTAAAAGTACAATCCAACCAGTTCAATTTATCAAAACTTAAGAATGCAACTGTACACAGCAAAACAAATATATTTCTGCCAAGTTTGATCATTCTCAATTTGGTAGCTTCCATTTCTTTTGATCCAGGGAAAGGAGAAAGAGATGCTTTAGGATTTGGTCCCCAGGACTTATGAAGCGGCCATAAGGCTCTCTACCACATGAACCAGCATTAGCTTCTCAGTTTGGCAGCTTCCACATTCAGCCAAAAGTGTACTTTGCATGCATTTATTCACCAAGCTAAGGCTCTATTTGATAACACTGAACATTAAGTGCTGAAAATCTTAAGCACTGAACTTGTACTAATTGGAGAAAAAAAAATACTTTTAGTACTGAAAATTAAGTGCTGGATTCTTAAAATCTAGAAGTTTGAGTTGACATGTAATAACAAATAATGGAAATAAAAACTACATATTTTTAATCATTTTTAACATTCAGCAATAAGTGAAATCTGTTTCACTTAAAATTCAGACCATTTTTGGAGCTAAATTTCAGATTAAAGTAATTGGGTACAAAACATTATCAAATGTACTTGATTTTGAAATATCTGAATGCATTCAGTTTTAAGTGATGAATAGTGTTTCTGAACAAGCCACAAATGTTGTTTATGCATGACTGACCAATGCCAAAAGTTTATCAAGTGCCAATGATATATCAGTTTCAGAGTCAAAAATACACACCCAAAACCTAGGGGCAATTTGACAATTTATAGCAATGCTGAACTAAAAGTGAATTCTTATTGACAAGGTTCAGTAAATGGAATAAGAGTGTTATATATACAAATGTGAAGAGCATTCAGTGTGACACAAGTAAATTCACAAGTCTTCATTAAAACTTACTTGAATGGTCAATTTGAGTATCAGGGTGCACCAGTTTTGCCTTGTCAGGTGATAATTTAGACAATCTTATCAAACCAAATCCAGTTACCTTCAACAGTCCTCCAGAGTCCAGCAAAATGTTTCTGGCACCTTACCAAATTTTCAAATATTAAAACAGTGTTTCATCTAATTTATAAATAAAAAAAAAATTAATCAAAAACTACTCCTGCATTTATTTGACATACTTGGGCTTTAAGTCACAGTGCATAATGGGGTCTGGTTTGCATCCATGAAGATAATTCATGCCCCTGCTATATAGAAACAAGGAAAAGGAATTATAGATGCACCACACAAAAATTAAAGCTCGTGCATAAACAAGAAAGTATTACAAATAGGTCCATATATATAACTTATTTGGATAGTGAAAGGAGACATATCTCTGCACCTTAGAATTATATACGTGGAAGTAGGAGGGAAACATTGATATAGAGAATGACAATCATAGAATTTTGCATAATTCTCGACAAGCAAAATTTTTTTACATGCCTTGCTATGTCAATGGAAAATTTAAGAGCTTTAGATGGAGACAGCCGCCCTTTCTTTTGAAGATAGCTTGCTAGATCTCCCTGAAAAAATTACCAAGAACCAAAATGTTATGTTGTGCACACAAGTTCATTATTTCAACACTACCCAACAGTCTGCTTATAAAACCTCTCCTTCCGGACACATGAATCTAGCTTAATGGAAAAGCCACATGAAAAGAAAGAGAGCATAGAATCATTGCTACCAGGAAACGTGTATAACCTTTATAATTGCTGCACCCAATTCCAGGAATGAATGTTACGAGTGCAACTGGCTACATTGCTACTGACTCCAGGTCAAACTCCTATCCAGCCTCATCTAGAGTGTGACCCAGTGGAATAAAGTGAAAATTGCATCTTTCTTAACATTTTGGAAATTTTAGTAACCTACCTACATTTGACAACCAAATATGAGACCTCACATGAAATTTGGTACACTGCAAAGATTAGCAGGGATGTAAAAATTGTTTCTGGGCTCATCTGGTGCTTGACTGGTAGTTACATGTGGTGGATAACAAAGTTTTAAGTAATTTACATAAAAGTTGCAAGTAGTCCAGTTCCCTTAGGAGAACTTAGGATAAGTAGGCTACATGGAACTAAAAAATTATAATCCCTAATGCCCCCATTCATATCCCAATTCTGAACGCATCCAATAGAAAACATATTTTAAATGACATAAAACAATAAGGATACCATTGTCTCCAATTAAATGACATGAAACTAAATACTTTGGGTAGTTATTCATTCCAGTAGACTAGCTGCAAATTTCATGTGAATTTTTCTCAAATTGTCTTCCTTCTGAGACATCAAGTGGCCATGCCAAAACCACTATTCTGTTACTTCTTTGAACATATTAATTCCAGCACTTGGAACAAGTCATTGCCAACACTCACAGGTTTAGGAAGAAGCTTACTCTTGGATGATACTCTGAAACAATCATCATGGGCACATTTTGGGTGACAGCTCCAACAAACTGAACCACATTGGGGTGCCTGACCTTCTCTAATAAAGTCAACTCATATTTAAAAGCATTTCTGCAGGGGAAAAGTTGAGTTCTGTAGTCAGAACAGTAATTGGTCAAATATACAAATTAAGCACAAAATTCAGGCAATCCCCAGAAGATACATATATAATAAAAAATAATCTATGAGGAATCTTTTATTTTGGGGATGGTGTTTGTCATACACTTTCCGATGTATTCCTAGCATGTACAAGATCTCCTTTGAGAATATGGACATGTTTTTGGGTGTGAATGCTTTTGCATGCTATTGAATGCTGCAAATTTGTTGTATCAACAGAATCATTTATATCATACAATGAAGTGCTAAAAAAACGTTAATGTATACCTAATTAGCAGGAAAATATAATTACATTGAGAATCTTAAGAAAAGTTGAGTCCATGACATGCTAAGTGGGTTGAGTTTCTTCAGGATTATACATTTGTCCCCTAACATTGAGCCAGTGTTGATAATAAACAGCTGATGCCTTTAGTATAGTCATATCACTTTTACGCAATAGGAGTCTTCAGGTCATTGGGTTTGAGCGTTTGAAAGATGAGTATCTTGTCTAGATTTGGGATTATATTTTAAAAAAATTGGGATGGTGACCGATATTCACACATTAATTTTTTGATTTGGATGGTTACTTGTTTAAAGGTATGAAGCATTGTATTCCTCATACTTTGGTTAGAGATTTTCTAGTTTGGAAGATGCATGTGGCAGGCTTAGCTAGACACTTTGGCCAGGACAAATCTATTGTAGTTCTAGAAGATAGGTCTATTGGCCATTACTTAAGGGTGATGTTTCTAGAATTATCTTGCAGTGTGATCCATTTCAGTTGGTGGAAGCCAGAAAGAGAAATAGTGGCTTATACTCCCACAATCACCATGGCAAGACCCCACCATGAATTATCCTTGGGTTATCTTAAACCGCTAGAGTTCATGATTCTATTTTTGTTGTTGTGGATAGGTTCTTTAAAATGGCCCATTTTATTCTTTGTGCCAAAACCTCAGACATGTCTCACATGGGCAAACTCTCTTTTCAAGAGGTTAAGTTGCATGGGCTACTTACTTTTTGTTGTGTCTGAAAGGGATGTCAAATTTGTTAGTTATTTTTAGAAGACTCTTTGGAGGCTTGCTGGAATCCAATTTGAAATTTTCTTCTCCTTGTCACCCACAAAATGATGGGCAAAACTGAATTGTCAACCATAGTTTGGGTAATCTACTCAAGCATATCACAGGTTAAAAACTGGGCATGTGGGATATTGATTTACCTACTCTTGACTTTGCTTATAATAGTTTTTCCATAGATTGACTGGCAAAAGCCCTTTTTTAATTGCTTATGGCCTTTCACCCCATCAACTCGTGAATGTCAATCCTTTGCCCCCTAACACTCATCCTTCTCATTCCGCTGAATATTTTGCTCAACACGTTCATATCTTGCATTCCAAGATTAGACGAAAGAATTGCTATGAGCAATGAGTAATATAAACTAGTTGATGATGTTCACCATAGGAAATTAGATTGCAGTGAAAGGGATTATGGCATGATCTGTGGGCATCCAGAATGATCCTTATAAAACTTTCTCCAAGAACTTCATGCCCATTCCATTGGCCCTTACCCTATTATTCACAAGCATGGGTCTAATGCACTTTTGCTTGATTTGCCATTAATATGACCAGAGTAGTCTTGTTTTTAATGTGGAGGGTTTTATTACCTTATCAAGGTACTTTTGAGCCTCCTCCCTTGTCAAATGATTTTCCTACTGTTGGCTCTCCTTTTCCTTTGGTTCCTAAACCACCCCATTACCACCATACCAAGAGAAGATTATTGAAGACGTACCGGACACTGAAGATCTTATTTCTCCTACTGCTAGTTACCAAATGTTCCTTGTGCATTGGAAAGGCTGTCCCCATATTGATGCCACATGGATTACTAAAGATGATTTTTGTTATATTGATTCCTACTTTCTCCAGCAGTGCTGTCAGCTTGACTTGCTCAAGTCAAGTTTTTCTTAGCTGGGGAGAATTATAGCAGGAAAAAAGGTCTGCATCTACTTGTTTATCTTAGACAAGGGCAAATGAGAATTTAAATTTTAATTTAATTTATTTTGAGAATTTTTATTTCAATTAGAACTCTTGTTTTGGATTAGTTCAAGAATTCTGATAGGATTGGATTAGTTCCAGAAATCTAATAGAGGTAGAATTACTTATCATGATAGGAGTAGGATTTGTTGTTATAAATACTTGGATCTTATTCCTCTGAATTCAGTTCTCTTTCCATGAATAAATATTTGGAAGAATTTATATAGATCTGTTGAATAAGAGCTTCCTATCGTTGGCCCAGCAAATTCTTGCATGAAACTCTTAAATGACATCTGCAAGAAATTGACAACCTCATTTGTTGATTTAACAGACTCAAGAATGGTGACACAAGCATAGTTCTCTTTTCTTCTTATTTAAGCAAACAAGGAATCAGATTTTACCTCTGCTTTTGCAACATCACTGAAATACATACAAAGAAACAACCTGATATATTGATTTTATGACAAAAAGAAAAAGAAGTGACTATAGGAAGGAGAAAAGAGGCTCTTTTGAGTGCATACATGCTTTCAGGGTCTGAATAAGAGTCCTTATCAAGTATCTTCACAGAGACTCTTGTGCCATTCCATTTGGCCACTTGATATGTCCCCTGTCAATGGGGGTGAAGAATATATGTTATCAATCTATCTATGAGGAACTTGCAATCCAAAGCATATCAATATCAAGTCCAAGTTGACCAGAGTTTGCTTACAAAGAGAAAACAAATGAATGAGCAAGGAAACCAATAAAGAAAATGCAAATTAGAGTCATCATGTTAGAAAGAAAATATAAAGAGCTGAAGCCACAACAAATTTCAGACAATGATTAAACATTATTTTCACAAAGAAAAAGAAAATAGAAAACAGAATTACAATCAGCTAAACAGCATGTCGCAGATCATACAACTTTCCTTTCACAAGATTAATGGTTCCATTTGGGAAAGCTTTTAGCCTCATTTTTTCTTTTTGCATTTTAAAGGAAACCTAAATCTAATGGCAAAAAGTGTCAAGAGTTGACCATTTGATTTATTTGCAGTTAAAAAGAAAAGCATAAAGTCATAAGTCTTTACCAAATGTATTTAATATTATAAGCCACTGCAAAGTACAACCCAAACAGACTGTTTTAAACCTACTGGAAACAGTAATTCTATAGGTTCACATATCAATCCATTGCGTGCTAGAAATATAATGATTGATTATAATTTCCGAACGAACATTGAGAATTAGTTAAAATAATACTATTCTGGTGATTGATTTTCATGCTGGATTAGAAACCATGGATCATTGTCTGGACCGGTTTAAGTAAAGTAAAGCATGCTGATATAGATCAATCAAGAAGGCAAGAGTAATATTTTAATACAGACCCATGAGGTTGACAAGATTGATGGACTGGGCAGGGTTTTGGATTAACTTCAAAGAATAAGTCTGCAAGCTATCCATCCAAAAACTACTAAGTTAATTCAGGCCAAATTTCCCATCCTTGAAGTCTACTGCCAGTCAGCTTTTTATATTTCCTTGATGAAAATATACTACAAAATAGGATGGATGGTATTCTAGCAGGAATTAAGCAGTTATAATAAGCTTTTGCCCTTCATCCAGTGGCACCAAGTTTTCCACCACATGGATTATATCTTATTACCCTTTAATCACAATGAAATCAATAGAGTATTTATGAAGCTAAAATAAATAAATGTTGAATTAATAAGAAGAAAGTGTTGGAGCTTTAAATCTTTTAACAACAGAATATCACCAAAGATGCACAAGAAATTCAAAGTTACGTGTGAGAAAGAGCCAGTATTTTTTTTAACATTGAATAATTGGTATCAAAATACAAACTCACAACATTGCTAAAGGCTATGAACAGTGAGAAAGCTTTTAGATTGGAGTGCTGGATGATACGAGTTTCAAGGAACAAGCCAATATAAACACTATAAAGAAGATGACGGACTTGCCTTTGCAATACCATCATTTCTGCGAATCTGAAGTTCTAATGGATTAAGCTCATACTCTGGAACTTCTTGCGGATTGGCAACAGCCATCGGTGTCTTTCGGGTTTTCTAGGAATATGACAAGCACAAAAACGTGTAAACTTAAAATGACCAATGCCTTATAAATCTAAATCAAAATATTATTGCAAAGTACCGGAACTTTGCTCCGTGGGCTCTCAAAATATTATAAACTTCTATATTTTCATAGTATTTTGCATCAGCAGCTGCCTGCCACGACAAAGTAACATCATATAAAGGTAGAAACTTGGCAGGAAGGGGGGGAAAAAGGAAAGAAAGAAAGAAAGAAAAAAGGAAAACATAAGTTTCACTATTGTGCTAGGAAGAGAATGATAGCTACAACAGATTTTTCTTCCCAGAACCTGTATAATCATGAATCATTTGTAATTTTTATTAACAAATGGCCCGTGACATGATAGCAAGTTGGAAATGAAATAAAACTGCAATAATTCTCCTCACTTTCTCACTACCTGGAGTCAGGATCCATGAACAACATTCGCTGCTATTTAACACATAAATATTTTTTTCCCCGACTTTAAACTGTAAAACTGAAGTATTTAATATAGAACTTTAGAAGGAGAAAGAAAGAAGGAAACTAGCAACAGTCCCAGATAATATGATTTGGGATTTTGGCCTAAATGCATAGGTGACAGTAGGAAGGATTCCACTGTGAACTGAGGGGCACCATGGATATCTTTCTAATAAAATCCTGGCTGTAAATACATCACTGAGTAATTCCCTTAAAACGAATCCAAAAACTAAAAACCAATTACAAAAGAAATATACAGAAGTATATATCCCAATTCAGGTGGGGTCTTAAATTTCCAGAGCAGATTAGAAATCGAGCTAGGAAGACCCTAAGAATTCAAGACATCATAACACCATCATCCTATCGTAGTTGGTAATTCATCATTGACTTCCATGCATGAGATCATTAATGTAATTGTTGAAATCCTTGTGGAGATCCTTCATATTTAGGCCAAATTTAAGGGAAGAATTATCAATTATCTTCCTGTTACTTTCCAACGTATTGGGCATGGACCAAAGGTAGCGGGAAAAAAGGCAATCAACTCGGGAAGGCCACCAAACTAGTTCACAACTTCTAATTTTCAGGGGTACATATTCATTCATTTGTAGAAGTTATCTCAAATACTTTCACTATAGACCATGTGTAGATAAGCCAATGGCAAATCTAATGTCCTCATAGGCGGTTCTCTCTGACTTATTATGTGAATAAGGGAATTGATGACAAAGGTCCTCTGATTGATACCATTTTCTCTTTCTTATTTGTTTTTCCTTTTTTATTTCATTAAATATTTTGTATGTCTGTTTAGCAACCAACATATATGTGACAGTTGATTTGGCCCAAAACCAAGACACAATAACACCTCAAAACTTCAATAGCATGCCTAAAGCTTATAATTTTAATTTCTGTAGCTGGCGGGATATGAATAAACCAGCAGGTAACATAAGCTGATAGGATCATTTTTAAGCTTGAAAACATCAATTCTTAATGCAACCGACAACGGAAAATGACTAATATTTACCGTACTGCCCCACCGGTCACGAGCATCAATATTGGCCTTGTAACTGAGCAAGAGATTGACAACCTCAACGTGCCCTTCACATGCCGCAACATGCAGAGCAGTCCGGCCATCCAAATCAATGCTGTTGACGTCAATGCCCTCATCTAACAAATCCTTCACCCCTGCTACATCACCCCTAGACGCCATGAACAACAATTGTATGGTGCAATCGAGGTTGTCTGGCAGCGAGAGCTCATCGCCCACCGAGCTTCGGCGAATGGGATCGAGAGAGGACTGGCGTCCGAAGCTGAACCGTCGGGAGTTGCGTCGGGTGCCCAGAGAGCTCTGTCGCTTGAAGCTGAATCTGCCGCTCTTCCTCATTGAGCCCGTCGAGAATTGGCGAGAGATCCCCCGCTTCAATTGAGCAGCTAGTTCCATTGCCCTCTCTCAAAAAATGCCTAACTCCCCTACAAAATGAAATAAGTCAACTCTCACGTCAAAATTCCGATTAAGCCAACTACATAGCGAGGTAAGAGACAAATTAGGTCACAAAACTCACAGAAGCATAAACACGAATGATGGAAAGAAGGATCGAGAGCCAAGCAAAGCCCTCGATGCTTCGAGGAATAACGAGAGGAGAGATTGGATGGAAGAGAGGAAGAGGGAGAATTATCATAACTCCAAACGACGCGCCTAGGATGAGGGAGAAATTAGGGGAAATGGGAGGACGATGCAGGAGAAACGAGGGAATTGCTCTGAAACAAGCTTGCTTGTCCGAAAAAGACGTTGCAGCCTTTCTTCGTAAAACTAAGTTTGAGTCCCAAAGCGCCAATTCCATTTTGTGGGGGTGTAACGCGGGAAATTTCAAAGCGGTTTGGTGTGTCCTACAGTCGTTGCACTCACGAGACAAGCCAGTTCAATCCAAACCCAGAGAAAAGAGAGGGAAGAAAAAAAGAAGGAAGGGACTTATAGATATTTATTTTTAGTGAGTGTTTTTTAAAGATTAAAATTTTTTTAGAAGTGTTTTTTTTAAATAAAAGTTATTTTAGCATTTTGGTATGTTTGAATTAGAAAATATTAAAGTAATTTTTTTTCCTTCTTTCCTCTGTTACCCTTCTACAGCCTATTCTCTTTTAGTTTGTATTTGCATAATTAATACCAGAAAAAGAAGGTCGGACATGATCTAGTTATCAACTGTATTCAAAGAAGCTGGGCGACAATTCTACCTTCCAACCACTATGACTGTGAGCTTTGTTGGCAAAAGAGAGAGCAAAGAAAGGTTGGTAGTGCAAAACTTTGTTAGTCTATCTGTTCATCTAGAAGAGAGGGAAGAGGGCGTTGGAAGGGAATAAGGAAGAAGACTAATCTAGTTTTCGGGAGGAGAGGGAAGAGGGAAGAGGGTTGATTTGATCGTCTATAATCTACGATCTAGTTTTGTGTGATATATGATCTAGTGGTCCACCACCAACTTTGACATCTTCAAAGTTGATCAACTTTAATTGAGATGAGAAATGAAGAATATTGATATGTAGACCAAGCGTTATAGGTCGGTAGTGTGGACAAAGATGAAGAAAACAATTGCACGCTCGATTGAAGGGCAAGGATTGTCTTGTTGGAAATTATACAAAGGTCATTTTGGTCAATGAAAAAATTCTACATTTTTTAGGCTTTCTCTCTCCTCTATTACATGAGACTCCAAGAAGTCAAAATTTTATTTTATTTTTGTGATTATGTTTTCCTTGAAAATTTTAAACAAACAACTTTTTTTAGTCAAAGTGAACTCAGTCTAATTTTGAACTATAGTAACCATTTTTTTATTGTAGTTTGCTTAAAGCTTTTTTCCCACATGTAACTAAAATCTTTTATTAAGTTAATTATTTTCTTAAAATATTGTACCAATAAAAGCTTTTCTTTTAGATAAAGTAGACACCTTTTTATTCAATTCATGAATTGTCTTCTTTCGATTTTTTCTATTCTTTTTAAAATTATGATTTTTCACATTTTATTACAATGTTCTTTGTACATGGTTTTCTTGTTTTAAGTCTTTAAAATATACTTTAGTTAAACATAAGATCATCATAAGGTCTAAAATAAAAGGGTTCTGAAATAAAGACGAGACCATAGTAACAAGACTTACAATTGACACACACACACACACGTTTGCACGCGCGCGCGCACGAACGTGACATTACACAAATTCTATAATTACATGTTTGAATGTCATAAATACTAAGGTACTGCTTAATAAAAAGTGAGTTTGAGAAAAGTAGATTTCGGAAATTTGATTTTAGAAAAAAATAGTTTAAAAAAAATATTTGGGCAAGAGACTATGCAGAATACTATGAGACAAGTTGAAGAAATGAGAAAATAATGAGCTAATGTCTTAAGAGTTGTTGCTAAGGTTGAGGCTAGAGCCATTGATGTTAAGGTAGCTTCTTACAAACTTCTTGGTCAAACCTACATATTTATCTTCCTAGAGACAAGAAATGTAGCTAGCTTACACTAATGTTCAATATAATTGCTGCATGACCTTAACAAGAAATTTGATTCTAGTTGGCAGGTGTTGAAGCACTGATTGACTCGTCAACAAATTCAATGTAACAAAAGCTAAAATTTAAAAAATTATATGATTGAAGCGAGTCTAAAATCAAGTTTGACTCATGTAAGAGAAGAAATTAGATTTATACCTCAAATTTATGGCAAAAATGGACAAGGAAACTCTTTGAAAATTTCTACTATGAAGACACACCAAGCCAAGAACTAGCCAAAATTCGATCACCTAGCGTCCAAGTGTTTGGCCTCTATGGTCTCATGCCAACTGGCCATGCATAATCTGGCTATGCTATCAGATAATGATTTCTTACTTAACAAGAATTAGATTGAAAGCTTACAGAAGGTTTTCTATTTTTGGTTCTTTCTATACAATTTTTGTCCTTCTTTTCCTTCCTCAACAATTCTTAATTTAATCCCTATTAAATCAAGAATGCTTAAAGTTCGAGATCAACGTCTAGCTGTGGGCCCCTAAATGCTTATTAATAGGGAGGTAATCTATGTGAATTAAAACAATTTACAATTTACTATACAATACAAATCTTCCATTAACTTCTCTCCATTAGGACCTAGGATGTATTATATTGTTAGCATCTTTTCATACAAATAATTGTCTCTAACTGAGCTTTATAGTGCAATAACCAATCGAACAAACTTTTTTCTTGATTGCTTGTCATTTCCTTGCAATGATTTTAAGAGACCGATAACTCATAAACAACATAGGAGAACTCTCATCTTAAGGAGACAAGTAGTGGATCTTATCTTAGTTCTCACCAACCTTTACTTAATATACATCTGTTTATAACCATCCATAGTGGAAAGGCCAGTAAGAAGTAAATTAAGCATAAGCTTTAATACATAAGACTACTGTGGAACCTTAAATTAAATGACCAAATATTGTATTAGCATAAATAAATTAAATGACCAAATATTGTTCAATGAACTTGTATTTTGATGAGCACCAAGACACATTAGTGTCTTTACACCAATACCCTTGAAATGAGGTGCACTTATCCATTGAGTATGTGACACGACTGCGAGTCTTTTAGATCTTGTCGACACCCTGTTAGACAAATCCTTTGACCCTGAACTTGTTTTAGATAATAACCGTAAAGACTAATTTCATTATCACTATCCTATGTGCAACCAAGTCCCATATTCTTATGTGATCTTAAGATTTCATCCACATATATATGTTAAATCCATGATGAAGTTGGTTTTGTATAAAACATATATTATATTAATGAATAAGTTTGTTTTACAATTGAATAGCATACAAACTCAAACCAATCATTTGGCTTTAGGGCACTGTTCTAATAGGTGCCCTATGTGGTATTTAATTTTTAAGCCTGATGTTGTGATACGGGAGAAGAAGATCAAACCCCCTAAAAGTAAAGGCCTATTTGGTTTGTAAAATGTTTTCTATTTTTTGAATATAATATTCATTTTAACATTTTTAAATTTGGTTTTATTTGTTGTTTCCTATTTTCATAAAATGAAAATAACGAAAACAAGTTTGGTTTCCTCATTTTAAGTGAATTGAAAATAAGGATTCAATTGAATGAAATTAAATTTTCAAGGTTCTTAGTAGGGATTTAAGTGAAGAAATTAAAAATATTGGCAATTGAATTGAGATTTTGAAGAGTTCAAAGTTCATATTGAATAATGAATAACAAACGAAGGATCAAAGCACAAAACAACTTGCATTGTTCATGCCTCTCACTTGAAACCCTTGCTGTGCAAACAAACACAGGAAATTGTTGCAATTGTAGAGGCAAGAAAAGAAAGAGAAAAATAGAGGTTCAACAATTGCTCGCATTACAAACAACATTAGGCAAAGGGGCTTAATCGAGGCTCTTCATGGATGCAATCTCCAACAAATGCAATGGAGGTGGATGTAGTGATGTTGGAGAAGAGCTTAGTTGAGACTTTTCATCGATGTGATCTTTAACAAGTGCCATGGAGGAGAAGAGCTCAGCAATGTATGTATAGGCAATGGAGGGGCCAAAGGAAAGAAAGCATCAAAAAATCTATTCATTTACAATAATACCAATGCATTTTCACTTTTGCACAAAAAATACTAAAAATAACTTTTTGTTATTTTCAATTTCCAACGAATTTTCAAAAAATGCTTTCTAGAAATGAAAACTGAAAACAGATACCAGATGTCTTTTAGGTCTATTTTTATGTTTCATTGAAAAATGAAAATAAAAATTAGACCAACAAAATAGGCCCTAAATTACTAGCTGGAATACAATTTTTGACTTTATGCCATGTCCAAATGTTACTAAACCTCACATCTATCAATAATCTAGTTTTATTTGAGATTTCTTCCCTCGTTACCATGTTGTTTTTCATTCCAATTCTATTTTCAAGTAGTTTATATCTATAATGATCTCCATAATGCATATTATTAAATTGATGCAAAATATGGAATATCTTCTCCCTCAACCAATGAGGTGAGTTAGTAGCGTAATCTTTATCATCAAAAATTTCTTCCTTGAGCAAATCAATACTTATTTTTGTCCTTCATACTTTATTTTGTGTAATTTGTTAATTATATCCTTATTAGAAAATAAGTTCTTATGTCTATGATGAATCATAATAAGAAAGGGAAGTAGGAAATGAGGAGAGAGACTTGACTTCCTAGCGCCCAAATTACATAACAAGTCTTCTAATCTTATTAAGATTATGAAAAAGGAAAAGTAATGTCAAATAATTTTCCTTTCTAAATATTGAAAAAAATAAAAAGTCATAATTCACCAAATGGTCCTTCTCTTCTGTGTGCTTCCAAATTAGATTATAAGTATTCAAACCCTTGAGTTGTTCTA